TTTTCTGGGGTGTCTTCGGGGCCACTTGGGACGTCTTGGGGCAACTTGGGATGGCTGGGGGCTCTCCTCGGCTTGTTGGACGGAGCCCGGCTTCGGCCTCAACGTGGGATGCCGCCGGCGATCCAGAATCGGTCCGTGACGAATTATCTGACACTTCGGTAACTCACCGAGCGCGTTCCACTACTCGCAAAGTGCCTACTCGCAAACGTCCGACACACACACACACAAATCTGCTTCGATGTAATTTATCGTAGATCCCCCGCGGCGGATCCAGGCCATGTGCGAGTAGTTACTTTGCGAGTAGTGGAACGCGCTTGTCTAGTAACGGCTGATCGGTCACGGTTGAAGGATCCCCCCCGTGTCAGCAACCAGCGCCGGAGTCGGCACGGCGCGACCTTGCCGCGCAGGCAGGGCGGGGTAAGGCGCAGGGATCGGCGGCGGGCGAGGGGGGGAAGTGAGAAGGAAGAGGCCCTCTCATACGGCGGCTGGACTTCTCGGAAGCCCTCGGCGACTTCCCGGGTTCCCGGTTATTGGTTCCGGGCCGATTTCGGTGGGTTCTGGGTTCCCAGGCTCCCGGGTTCCCGGTCGATCTCCTTAGCGAAAACCATGCATTGATTGGGTTTTTTTCTCTGGTGTAATTGTTGTGTGTGTCTTCGGGGGCGGCTTCGAGAACTTCTCGGAAGGCCGGGGGATTGCCGAGCCTCCTAAGAAGGCCTTCTCTCGACTACACGTAAAGAGTGACCCTTCGCCCGAGTGACCTCTGGTGCGGGCTCACCTGGGTCCCCCCCGATCGCTGAGCGCGATGCGATAGTGGCTGCTTGCGCGCTTGGATTTGGCCACCTCGCGCCCCTGCTGTCCGCGCACTCAAGGTCACTCTTGCCTAGGGTCGCTCTTGCGTGTCGCTGGTTCTCCCCCCCCTCGCTCGCCGCCGAGTGCAGGCGCGGCGGGGTAAGGCTCAGGGAGGCGCCGGGGGGGGGGCGCCTGCGCGCTTCGGCGGAGAGAGGCTCAAGCTGTCGCCCCTGCCGGAGCGCTCCTACCGCTCCTTCACGCAGCTGGAGGCGGTGGTGCGCGTGGAGCCCACGGGCGACGTGCTGCTCACCGTGGCGGACGTGGAGAACAGGAGGGGCGGCGGTTGCGCTCGCGCGCGGTTGAGCCTGCGAGTCCTCCCCAGGGGCAACGATAGGAGGGGATAGTTAGGCATAGGGGGGGAATGCATCGAACTCCAATCACCCATTGCTCGCCGATAGGGGCCCGAGAGCCCCAACCTGCCCAGGAACGTGGGGACTTGCTATCGGTGCCCTATAGCCGACCTGTCGGCGATGTATTGCCGATTCCAGGTCGATGCTTCCCCATATTCCAGTCCCTACCTGTCGTCGCCCCTGATCCCCAAGCCCCAGACCCCCTCGCATCGTGAAAGAATCACGACGGACGACTTGCTCTAGGCTTCTGGTTCTGGGGGGCCCGTGGCCGCGTCGTGCAAGAGCACGGCCTCGGTGGTCCAGGGCCTGCGCGCACGCTCGTCCGAGCACGTGCCATCCTCGTGCGCTTGCGCGCTCGTGTGCGTGCTTGCGTGCTGCCGCCGTCTCGTGCTTGCACATGGTCGAGGGGTTGTCTGCTCGCTGGCTCGCGTCGGTTCCCTTGTGCTGCCAGTGTCTCCTTGCCTCCTTGCCTGCAGAGGGGTGCTGCCAGTGTCTCCTTGCCTCCTTGCCTGCAGAGGGCAAGCTCGAGACGGCCACCGCCCCCCGTCCAGGGTCTTCCTCTTCCCCGGCCTGGTCGTTTGTGCCTTCCCCGCCTCGGACAGGAGGTCTGTCCTGGCGCCCGGGGTGGTCCTGGCCGAGGTTTGGTGGTGTGCAGCCGTCGTCTGCACATCCTTATCTTAGTCCCTTGTCTCTCTCTAGGCCTCCTAGATGGGGTTGGAGTGGATGGGGTCGGAGGATCGTGCCACATCGGCGATGCATCGGCGATGCATCGGCGATGCGGCTCGATGTAGGACCCCAAGTTTCTCCAAGCCGTCGTCGCCGATGCATCGCCGACGTCGCCAGTCCATCGCCGATGCATCGCCGATGCATTGGCGATGCGGCAAGATCCTCCGACCCCATCTACTCGGACTCGATCTGGGAGGGCTCTATTCTCACCTGGCCGTTTTCCCCTCTCTTTGCCCCTGCTGTTTCTGCCGTTGCATCCGCTCCTTTGTGCTGCGGCGTCTCCTCCCTCTCCTGCCCCCGCCGTCCCCAACGGGACACATCCCATCTCTGATCACCAAGACTACACGCTGCCATGGTAATTTGTACATGCCTTTTTTTCCACGCGTGGCGAGGCATGGAGCTCTCCACAGGTCTCGGTCTTCTCCTTTTCTCTCCTCCCTGTGTTTGGTCCACTGCCGGAGTTCCCTGTCTGCGACATTGCGCACGGGCACGTGCAGCTGGAGCAGGCCACCGTGCCACCTCACGTCGGCAATTCAGCCTTTGCAGCAGGCATCACGTGTTTGTCACCAGTTTTTGTTCCAGGAGCGCCAGGCGGGGATGACGAAAATTGCCAGCTTCCCCACCGAGGGAAAGGGGGCTCCACCATGCGAAGCGTCAGCCAAGGAGGCAAGGGGAAAGGGAGGAGGAGGAGGAGGAGGACGAGGAGGAAGAGGAAAAACAAAACAAGTTGTACCTGCTGGCATTTTTTCACACCAAGCCTCATCATTGACACCGCGCCCTCTCCACCCAAGAGATGCCAGGGGATCTCTCCATGCTGGAAGGGCCAGCCTGGGAAGGGCCCCCCCTCTGGCGTTTGACCACCGCCCCCGCTTCCCGCGCCTGCTGAACCCATTCCGCTCCTCCTCAGCGTGGCTCGGCGCCTCGGCTGCGACAGCACCTCTGCGCCCGCCGAGAAGCTGCCTCCCCCCCCCCTCCCCCACTCACTCAAGCTCCCCTGTCGGCAGACCCCTCCCACGAGGAGGAGGAGGAGGAGCAGGAGGAGGAAGAAGAAGAGGACGAGGAGGGAGAAGAGGACGAGGAGGAGAGGACCAGAGGAGGAGAGGACTGGAGGAGGAGAGGACTGGAGGAGGAGGAGGAGCAGGAGGAGGAGGAGCAGGAGGAGGATGCAGCGCGGTCGTGGCCCCAGGACTTTCACAGGACCAGCTCTCCCTGAGTCGTTTTCACAGGCCCCTGGCAGGGCCGCCTGCGATCCGATGCGCTTCGGTCCGGCTCGCCGGCTGCGGTCCCGATTCCGATTCGATCCGGTGCGGTTCGATTGACCGGCATCGGCCGGGGTTGGCCGGAGTTGGGCGCGGCTATTTGTCTTCGGTTCGATCTGGAGCGATTCGTTGGCGATTCGATCCGTTTCCAATCCTCTCCAATCTCGCCGTTCGATGCAGCTTAGGCCTGCCAAGGGGGATCACCGCCTCCCTGCACACCTGGCCCGGTCCCTACCCCTGTGCCTGGAGGACTCCGCATCCCGGTAGAGGCCAATCCAGCTTGATCATCAATCCTCCTCCCCGCCCTTACAGGCCCATGGAGCTCTCCAAAAAGGTGCGCTTTGACTGGGATTCCGAGGGGAATCCAGCCGTGTTGATGCAGACTGCAGGACGCGCAGAACATGCGAAGAACGTCCGAAGCCATCGAGCCTAGACAGCTCTGCTTGCTTCTGCGTGGACTGCAAGGGACAGGAGGCCGTGGTGACGTCTGTCATGATGCACATATTCACGAGAGTTTGAGTGTCGGAGAGGAAGAGTAGGAGGAGGAGGAGGAGGAGGAGGAGAAGGAGGAGGAGGAGGAGGAGAAGGAGGAGGAGGAGGAGGAGGAAAAGGTGGAGGAGGGAGAGGAGGAAAGGGAGGAGGAGGAGGAAAAGGTGGTGGAGGAGGAGGAGGAATAGGTGGAGGAGAAGGAGGAGGAGGAGGAGGAGGAAAAGGCGGAGGAGGAATAGGCAGGAGAAGGAGGAGGACAATTATGCTGCTGCTGCTGCTGCTGCTGCTCCTCCTCCCTGTATGCCAGCTGATGCGGACCTTCCTCCTCGGTCGACCGAATCCCTGCCCACCCCCAGGAGGCCAGCGCGGCGGTAGTTGAGTTAAGTCAGGCGTGTCCCTCTACAGGGGGATTATTCAAAAATTAGTAAAAAAAAAAAAAATGTCTGGGGACGATTGTTTGACTATTTGTGACCCTTTTGGAATAGTTTCTGACTCTTTTCGTTTTTGTCGCCCAAAATGCCCCTGTAGGAAGACATGCCCGACCTAACGGTACTTGAAGTAAGCATACGACGATGCGGAATGCAATCAAGACGCGGCCATTAGGTGTAAACGCCACCTTGGCCTCGGGAGGGGCTCTGGTTTCCGGTCCGCCTCTTAAGTCCTAAATCGGGGGACGCATTCGGGACCGATGCTCGCCGTGGCAAGAGAGGCCCTTCGTTCCTTTTCTGATAGCTCCAGCCGAGGCGTGGAAGCGGGGAGTGAGGCCTTTCACACCGAGAAGGTGGACAACGAACCCGCCTGATCCCGAGGGGAGGAATGGGCTCTGTCTGCATCGGCGCGCTCCCCAGGCCCCGGAGAGAGACTCAGCCTCCACTCAGCTCCGGGAGATTCAGCAAACAGTCGCGACTGCCGTCTTAGTGGGGCGCAAGGCCGTCTCCTTGCCCAGGGGCCGTCAAAAAACGACGCAGGATGAAACAGTCGCCCAAGTGCAAGAGCCGAGAGCCCCAGGTGCCGATGTAACGACACGAATGCGAGAGATGCCCCGAGGATCAGATGATGAGGATGAGGAGGACGTTGGCCGCTAGTGGCAGGCGTGTTCGGAGGCATGAGCGTGAAGGGATGGTTGACGCAGAGTTGGTCAAGTGCCCGGATGGGAAGACAAGTGAGGCGACAGGTGGCTGGCGGCCTAGCTGCCAAGCGGGGGCACCACCAAGCTGATGTTAGGATGCAGCTCCTGGGAGTTTCAATTCAGCATGGACCCGCAGTCGAAACCAGCCATATCCAGCATACTCAAGTACAATGTTTACAAATCCCGCCAGTCCCGCTTAATCCCGGGCTTACTCGGGGCTGCTCGGGCTCAGCGGCCCCTTGATCTGGCCAAATAGTCCTGAACCGTTCTGGCGAAGACCTCCTAGAACTTGCCTCCTAAAGGGGCCTCCTAGGCCTGCTCCGCAACTGGAGCCTGTATAAGGGGCTGGGCAGATTCGACTTTTTCTTTTGATATTCCTCAGTTGAGGTTTCGCACTGGCGTTTGAAGATTGCCCAACGGATGCCGAGACGCTTACAATAATACATCCGATACTTATGTACATAAGTAGTTTGATGACAATTTGATGAGAATATCTTTACGAACAGCTTTCGAGGAGTTCGACGTTACACGTCTGTTTAAACCATCACGTAGACGAGTTTTGGTTGAAATACTTGGGAAGATAATTTGCAGTTTGAAAGGTTATGTGGAGAATGCGCTTCTTGAGTCAGCATTTGAGGACTCACTGCTTATATATATATATGTGTGTATATATAAACTACATATTTATATATACACACAAGACTACATCGGCGCTTCGCGCCATGCGCCTTGTTCCGGACGCTTCCCTGGCAAAACAATAAATCATCGCTTGCTTCAGCAGGGAGGACCTCGAGGCCTGGACGGGCGATCCGCCCATTTTTCCGATATCCCTGGTGCCTGCTGACACCGTTTTCGGACGCTTGTGCGCAGGAGTGAGGAAATAATGCTGATTTGTTTCACGCGCGAAGTTCTTTTGAGGAAGTAAGGAGCGTTCCCATGACACGCCGACGAAGTCACAGTAGCTCCGAACACATAGATCTTTGGTCGTTCCCTGAATGCCTGGAGGGCTCCAGACATTCAGGAAATCTTCGCTCGTCGAATTTCGAATCTAGATCCATTGCCTGTCTCTTTCTCGATCGGGGAACTACTGAAACCTCGAGCCTCAAGCGTGCAACCAATATCGTCGGGTCAGCGTGTTGTATTTCGTAGGAGAACGCCGTCTGGTCGTTTTTGGTGCTCTTTTGGGCCGTCCTGGAGCACTCTTGGGCCGTCCTGGGGGCTTTTTGGGCCGTCTTGGGGAGCTGGGGGCCCTCCAAAAGTCTTCTGAAGCCATCTAGGGCCCTCTCGCGGGCCTCCAGTGGCCTTCTTGAGGTATCCCATGGCTTTCGTGGGTCTCTCTTGTGAGCCTTCTCGTGGCATCTTGGGCTTCTTGTGGGCATTCTCGGGGCTCTCTGGGGCAGTCTTGGGGCCCTCTTGGGCCGTATTCAAACCCTCTACGGGGCCTCGTGGGCCGTCTTGGGGCGAGATCGGGGGCCCATTGGGCCGTCTTTGACGCTGCGAAGACCCCAAAAGCGGATATGCAAAACAAGTGTATTTCTTGAGGGAATGTGACGATTTTGGCTTCTTCGGGGCTATCTTAACGGCCTTTTGGGGTGTCTGAGGGGCCTCTCGGGCCTTCTTCAGACCATCGAGGTTCCTCTTGGAGCGCTCTTGTGCTGTCTTGAGTCTCTTTTGCGCCTCTCCGACGACCCCTCTGATCGCCTTCAGCCGGCTCGCAAGGCCCAGCGAGGCGCCCTGGGAGGCCTGGAAGGGCCACCAAACCTTTTCCAAGGGCGTCCAGGGGGCCGCCGAGACGTCCGAAAGGGCGTCCGGAGCGTCCTTGGGGGGGGTCCGGTTTAGGGGGGGGGTCCAGGTAAGAAAAAGATTAGAGATGAACATACATATATATATATGTATATATATAGATGTGTGTGTGTATACACACATGTGTATATATATATATACATACACAGACATATGTACATATACCCTTTTTGTGGAGGATTTACTCTTTGAATCCCGATTCGGAGGATTTGCATGTTGATTTCTCTTGCGGTGGATCCTCGGATTGATTCCTTTTGCGGGCTGTGTCCAGGCCCATATAAAGTCCTGCCCAACAGAAACTTAAAATAACACGGTTCTTCAAAAATCAATGTTTCGCCTGGGACATCGTTCAACACATCCTTTTTCCCTTACAGACGCTTGCCCGGCGTCTCAGGCGAAATTTCGTGCTTGCATTAAGATTACCAGTGCTTCGTTGGGGACATCGGGCAACAAGCTATAGGGTAAAAAATTATGTTTTGCCGATGTCCCAGGCGAAACCTTGATGCTTGTGACATCCTGCAGATTTGTACCGTTGTTGGTCAGAATCTCTCTGGGCCTGGGAGTCCCCAGATCACTGATCGATTCCTTGTGTTGGCTGGGGTATCCCAGCCCCAGATACAGACCGGCAAACAACAAGAACACAAAACGATACTCATATATATATATATATATACACATCAATATATACAAGATTGCATTGGCGCTTCGCGCCATGCGCCTTGTTCCAGACCCTCACCGGTACAGCAATATATCATCGCCCGCTTCAGCAGGGGGGGCCTCGAGGCTTGGACGGGCGACCGGCTCTTTTTTCTGATATCCCTGGTGCCTGCTGACACCGCGTTCGCCCGATGCGCTTGCACGCTTTTGCGCAGGAGTGGGGAAGGAATAGAAATTCTTTCAAGCGCGAAGGTCCTTTTTGAGGAAGTAAGGAGCGTTCCCATGACGCGCCGAAGAAGTCGCAGTAGCTCCGAACAAATCGATTTCGGGTCGCTTTCTGATTGCTTGGTGGGCCCCAGGCACCCAGGAAATCTTCGATCGTCGAACTTCGAATCTGTATATATGTATGTATGTATGTATGTATGTATGTATGTATGTATGTATGTATGTATGCATGTATTGCCTGTCTCTCTCGCTCGAGGAGCTTAAACCTCGAGCCTCAAGCGTGGAACCACGATTGCCGGGCCAGCTCGATGTACTTCGTAGGAAAACGCCGTCTGGGCGCTTTTGGGATTCTTTTGGGCCGTCCTGGGCCGTCCTGGGGCCTTCTTGGGCCGTTTTGGGGAGCTGGGGCCCTCCAGAAGTCTTCTGAAGCCACGTACGGCCCTTTTGGGGGGCCTCCAGTGGCCTTCTCGGGGGTCTCCCATTACTTTCGTGGGTTTCTCTTCGGAGCCTTCTGGGGGCATCTTGGGCTCCTTGTGGGCAGCCTCGGGGTTCCTCTGGGGCAGTCCTGGAGCCTTCTTGGGCCGTCTTCAAGCCTCCTGAAGGACCTCTTGGGCCGTCTTGGGGTGATATCGGGGGCCATCGGGCCGTTTTCGACGCTGCGAAGACAAAAAACGAATATGCTAAACATATAATTTGCATTGGGGACTGGGACGATTTGTGTTTCTTCAGGGCACTCTGAACGGCCTCTTCGGACGTCTTGGGGGACTTTGGGCCCGTCATCAGACCATCGAGATTCCTCTCGGAGCGCTCTTGTGCTGTCTTGGGTCTCTCCTGCGCCTCTCCGATGACCCTTCCGGTCGCCTTGAATCTGCTCGCAAGGCCCGGCAAGGCGCCCTTGGAGGCCCGAGGGGGCCAGCGGACCTTGTCCCTGGGCGTCCAGCGGGCCGCCGAGACGTCCGAAAGGGAAAGGGCGTCCGTGGCGTCCCTGGGGGGGTCCGGTTTAGGGGGGAGGGCGGGGGAAGGGGGGGGGAGGGTAATAAAAAGATAAGAATTGGATTCTGTTTTGAATAAAAAAGTTTCGCCCAGGACATCGTCCACCACATCACTTTTCCCTTATAGCCGCTTGCCGATGTCTCAGGCGAAACTTGGTTTTTGTATTACAATCTATGGGGGGAAACGTTATTGTTCGGAAGATGTCACATGCGAAACTCTGATGTTTGAAAAATATGTCAGGTTTCTCTGCTATTGTGGCCAAGTTTTTTCTGGGCCTGAGGATCCCCAGACCACTGAATCATTTGTTTTGTGGACTGGAAAACCCCAGGCCCAGAGAAAGTCCGCCCCCAGGTTTCGCCTGGGCCATCGTCCAGGACATAAGTTTCCCCTGTGACGTTCTGCCCGATGTCTCAGGCAAACCCTGGTTGTTGGATCATGATAATACACACGTCAAGGTGCTTCGCCTGGGACATCGGGCAAACAGCTGTAGATGGGAAGTAATTTCTCTGACGATGTCCCGTCCGAAACCTTGATCTGTAAACAATCCCCCTAACGTCAAGTCGGGCATGTCATTCCACAGGAGGACAATTCAAAAATAACCAGAACATCGCATGGTGGCGTTTTTCTTACACACATCTACATATATATATACACATATACACTGCGTTGACTATGTTTGTTTTTCTTCCACGCGCCTGTAGGAGGACACGACCGACCTACAGAGGAGACCCATGCCAACAAACGCCCTGCTCGCCTCCAGGGTGCCCTGGGTTTCTTGGGCTTCGATAGTTCTGCTGTGGCAAGCGTGCGTTCCCCACGCCAAAAACATCAATGGACGTCCTGGGGTCTCAGGGCTGGGTCTCCCGTGGAAGGTTTCTTGTGGATTGACCTCCACTGTAACCTTGACCTTTCCTCCTCCTCTTCCTCCTCCTCCTCCTTTTCTCCTCCTCCTTCTCCTCCTCCTCCTCATCATCCTCCACCTCCTCCTCCTCCTCCTCCTCCTCCTCCTCCTCCTCCTCCTCCTCCTCCTCCTCCTCCTCCTCCTCCTCCTCCTCCTCCTCCTCCTCCTCCTCCTCCTCCCCCCCCCCGTGACAGCCCCCCTGGCGCCACAGGGCCGCCGGCGCCGGGTTCGCGGAGGCGGCCTGGGCTGGGGACCTGGCCGCGCCAGCGGAGGCCTGCGGCCCGGAGGAGAGCCTCCGAGCGGCGGGGGGGGCCAGGCGCCGGCGCGGCGGGCTTGGCTCCAGGCCTCCCAGGTGCGGGGGCGGCAAAGTTACCCAGACTTCTGCGGGGGGGGGACAAGTTCCCCAGACTTCCTCGCGTGGTGAGAAGATTGCGACTGGAGGTTTTCGCTATTTTCGGCCTCCGGAGGTCCTTCCCGGGTTTCGGGATTGTGAAAAACGATTCAGGATGAAAAACCGGTCGCCGGGAAGGGATCCAGACCTCTGGGGGTCGACGTTGTGAAATAATCACGCCTGTAGGCGTCTGGGTCGGTACCAAATCATTAGAGCTCAATGGAAGTTTGACAGAAAATCAGTAGAGCCTTGTGCTGAAGAAGAAGGAACAGCATAACCACAAACTTGTGGCGTTCCGCGCGGATCGCCGAGATGTCGTTGTCTCTTCCTCTATCTTGGCGCACCCCGCCACAGTGTGGCGAACCGAGCTGGTCGCAGTCTTCCCCTTCCTCCTCTTCCTCCTCCTCCTCCTCCTCCTCCTCCTCCTCCTCCTCCTCCACCCCAGGGTACCCGAACTCCTCCTCCTCCTCCTCCTCCTCCTCCTCCTCCTCCTCCTCTTCCACCTCACCCCCTGAGCTGAATGTGGTGACGTCAACCCAGCCGGCCTCTTTAGTGCACCACCGCTGCGTTAGGGCTGCAACAGCTCGTCGATGGGTGCGCTCATAGTTCGCATCTTCCGACTCCAAAAAATAAGGGGAGTCTTGTGTGCTTTCAAAATCCCTTTTCTCAGAGTGCATCAGCGTGCGCTAGCGTCTGGTAGTCGACGAGGAAGCGCCAATCCAGCACCGATGTAGCATCGATTGGCGTCGACAAGCGTCGACTAGCGTCGGTTAGCGTCGGTTCGCAAGAGCCAGCAAGATGGTATCAGAGGCTCCCCTGAGTTGCCACCGAACGAGTAGTCGGGGGAAGGAGAAGTGACACCACCACTGCCAGCGGGGTCACCTCCAACGAGGAGATCAACGACGCCTTCCCTGAGCTGGAGGTGAGATTGGTGTCTCGAGGGAGAGGGGGGGAGACCACACCACTGGGGGGACACCCCCTGGCTCTGTTGATGGTGGTGCCGCTATTCCTTTGGTCCTGAGTGGATGGGGTCGGAGGATCGCGCCGCATCGCCGACGCGTCGGCGATGCGGCTCGATGCGGAGCCCGAGTTCTCCATCCCGCCGTCGCCGATGCATCGGCGATGCGCTCCGGGCCTCCAGCGCCATCTACTCGGACCCTAATTCGGGAGGCCTCCAGGCCTGGGTACGACCTCCCAGACCTCCGACGTACATTTCCAGGACAGCGCTTGCACCGAGGGGCTCATATACGTCTCTGGCGAGGGCTCGCCAGGTTCCCGCCCGTGGCCGCACGCGGCCGGTCCGTTGCCGCCCGAATTGCCGCTCGGGTGGCGGAGGCGAGGCTGTGCCACGCTCGGGCCCGTTGCCGCCTGCCTCCGCCGGTTGACGCCTGCGTGGGTGCGCGGAGGATTCGCCACCTGCCCGCCCGTTGCCGCCCGTTGTCGCTCGTTGCCGGCCCGTTGCGGCCCTCTGCCGCCCGTGGCCGCTCGGGCGACAGCGTCGAGGATGCGCCACAGTCCCGCCCGTTGCCGCCCGTTGCCGCTCGCGTGGCAAGCATCGCCAGGGTGCCCTGTCGCTTGCGGGCGGCAGCTGCCACCACACGGCCTCCACCGCATAGCTTCCGCCACATAGCGTCCATTAGTAGGGTGCGAGTCTCATTGGTAGGGGCCCACGCTGGCACACATGGAGATCGAACAAGTTCGCAACGGAGGTGTTTCGCCGGTTGCGGCCCCCTGGGCCCTCGCCGGGCCCCCGAGGCCGTCGAAGAAAATTGTCGGGGACGAAAGCGGGCCCGTCACGACAGAATCAAGACGTTGGAGGTCTGGGTTTATCATGTTCCAGCCTACTTTAAGCCTAGATCACCAGGAATGAGTTCGAGCACCAAGAGAGTACCGAAACTGGAGGGCTTTCACGTGCCGGGCCCTGGGAGGCGATGCTCGTTCGACACTGTCTCGATACTCTTCTGGGTGCTCGAACATCTTTCTGGGATGAGGTCCGTAAGCACGATGGGAGCAACACAAGTCTGGGTCCGAATGCGACTCGGGGCGGAGGGCGCGGTTCTTTCCTGGGCGGTGCGGCGGACGTCCGGCCGGCGCGCCCGGGTCGCAGATCGTCGCGCCGCAGCGCGGGTGCATCGTCAACACACGGGCGGGGGGGGGCGTCGCGCCGCGCAGGGGCACCCGACTGCCCTCTCCCCCACTCCTCCTCCTCCTCCTCCTCCTCCTCCTCCTCCTCCTCCTCCTCCTCCTCCTCCTCCTCCTCCTCCTCCTCCTAGCCGTTCTGGCACAGACGGCGCGCTGTGTTTGTTGGCATCTACTTCAGAACGGCACAAGGTGCCAACGGGCCAATCTTGGCACGATTCCTCTGACGCGATGGCCCCGCCGAAGCCCATGCCATGGGGACCCATCCCAGCATGGGCCCAGTCGTATGGCTACAGCTACGCGCCTCAGTGGCAGTGGGGCGCTGCCGCGCCGTTTCCTGGGGCACACCCTGGTGCTCCTGGCCACGGTGATGGTGGTGCAACTACTGGCCGCTGGACATGTCAGCATGGAGATTGCCGCTGCAAGAAGAACGACGCCCGCTCCCCTGTTTGCAAGCACTGCGAGCGACCCCGAGGTTCTGCTCCAGGGACGCAGCCTCCAGGTACGTGGTCGGTTGGGCTTCCGATTCAGCCGCAGCATGGTGCAGTACAGTCAGCGGCACCAGGTGGGCAGCCTCAACAGGTCGGCCCCGAACCGCAGAAGTATGATGACTACTCGGTTGACGAGCTCCAGCAGCTCATCGACACCGCCACGAAGCATAACGACACGGCCAACATCAGCTTCTGCAAGGCGGCCCTCGAGCGCACGAAGGCCCGTGATCGCCCCGTACCACCCAAGCCCCTACAGCGATAAGCGAATGATGTACATCAGGCGCTCGCGATCACTGAGAGGAGGCTTGAGAAGGCGCTGGATGTTTGGGCGTCTGCTCGCGAATGGGTTGCCAAGAAGCATGCTGAAGTCGTCAAGCTCCGTGTCGAGTTGGCTGAGAAGGACCGCATCCACACTGACCTGGCCGGGCAGTTGCACGCGAACGTGTGCAAGCCGCCACCGTCTCAGCCGAACACGGCTACGCAGATCAATGTACGTGACCTACTTGATGGCCGGCTTTCGGAGATCAGCATCGTCGGTGGCGACGAGTTGCTGGGTGTTCCGTCTGCAGAGTACGACTTCTCCACGGAGGACATCGAGCTGCTGCAGAGCAGGCAGAAGGAAATGCTTGCGGGAGTCCGCCAGCTGGCCACCACGCTGTACTCGGACCTGGTCGCAACTCTCGACAAGGCGAAGAAAGAACATCGTGAGCATCTCCCCAGGCTGTCCCACAAGAAGCGGAAGACTGGCGAAGGTGCAGCTCCAGGAGGTGGTGGAGGTGCTGAAGGTGCTGGAGGTGATGAACGTGCCGCCGCTCACGCAGGCGCCAGTGCAGGTAGTGCTGGTGGACCCGCTGCTGCTGCCGCCGAAGTGCCCCAACCAGGTGCCGACGGTGTTTCCCTTCGTGAGCTGGCCGCACGTGCTGCTGCTCAGCCTCCTGAGGCCTCTGCCCCCAGCCAGCCATCCAAAGAGGGCCCCCCTGGACAGGGTAGGAGTGACTGAGTCCAGGGGGGGGCGGGGCAATGCAGTTGATAACTTGTTGCAACAACAGCCAGTCTTAGGACCTAAGTTTTACAAGGTACAGGATAGCGACCCCGACATGTCTCCATCTCATGGCGTCCTCAGAGCCCCAGCCCACCCTGGCCCAGAAGACTTTGAGTTAGTTTTTGAAGCCATTAACTCCAGCAGCTGGACGTCGGCTAAACCCTTGCTTTTTAAATCCCCCGCTCATATAATTTTAGTACAGGAGCATCACTTAGCTAAGAAGACTGCGATTGAAGAAGCCTCTTCCTGGTGTCGTCGCCACGGCTGGCTTGCTCGAATTTCTCCTGCCCTGGTCACGCCCGAGGGGGGCGCGTCTGGTGGTGCGGCGATTCTGGTTCGGGACTGGCTAGGCTGTTACGACATCACTAAGGGACCTGACTTCTACCCAGGCCGCGCGACAGTGTGCTGGGTACAAATGCCGGGTGGCATCACCATCCTTTGCTGCTCGCTCTACCTCAAGGACTCCGAAGGACTATCGGAGCTCAGCCCCGGTGTCTTAGCCAAGGTCGGGGCTTTGTGTAATTCCTGCTCCTCCCCTTACCCCGTGGGGGGAGACTTTAATATGCCCCCTTCTGAGCTCGCCGAGTGTGACTTTGCGGCTGGCCTCTCGGCCAACATCGCTTACCCCCCTGACTCTATCTCGTGCACCAGTAATGCTGAGGGAGGAGGGAACATGCTTGACTATTTCATCACCAGTCCTGGACTCGGCAAAGGGGTTGCTGGCGCGTCGGTCGTGTTGACTGCGGATGCCCGCCCGCATCGGCCCGTCCGCATTCGCTTCCATAAGTCCCTGGCCGATCTGCAGGTTCTGTCGTTTGTCCGCCCCCCTCCCATCCCTGCCCCCCTCCCCATGGGGCCCTTTCCGAAGCCCTCCAGCTGGCAGGAAACTCTTAACTGTGCTGAACATGCTCTCACGCTCGTCCGTTCTGGAGCCCCCAGGCCCTCGATCCAGCGTCGCGTTAATTTATTATATAAGTTCTGGGCCAATCAGTCCGAAACGGAACTGGAGTCGGCTTATCAGGTGAAGTTCCCCATTCGAGGAATTCGTGGCAAGGTTCCCAAGCTCGCTTGGAAGTCGGCTCTCGCCCATGGCCGCAGTCGTAAGCCCAGGCAGCCAGAGCTCTACGCGTTGCGCTGGCTCGAAGGTAGCGTTCGCCTGCTCATTGTTTACGCCAGCGCGGACCGCTGGCGCCAGGCTCACGAAGTCTCGCAACTCTTGCTTTCCCCT